CATATAGAATACACAAATTATGATAGAAATACATACCGGAACTACAATACCATCAGAAGTTAAATCACTTGGGAGATAAATGTTTTGAATATTCTTGTGTACTAACTAGTATAAATATACCATTAGCCATTACTAAATTAGGAAATAATTGTTTTAGAGTCTGCTCAACACTAAAGTCAATTAACATTCCAACTAGTGTTAGTGAAATAGGGAACACGTGTTTTAGTAGTTGTTCATCATTATCATCAATTAACATTCCAACTAGTGTCAGTGAAATACCAAATTATTGTTTTTGTTGGTGTACATCATTAACATCAATTAATTTACTACTATCAGTTAGTGTTATAGGGTATGAATGTTTTTATGAATGTAAGTCATTAACGTCAATTAATATACCATCATCAGTTAGTAAAATAGAATATAATTGTTTTTATAGATGTTCATCATTAAACAATATGGATATAGATGACTTGAAATTCATAAGTAAAGAAAGAATATTTATGAATGAACCAGTGTTAATTAGTTTTGAAATACCAAATAATCTAAACGAAATCAATAGAAAGCTCATTGAAAAGAAAGATATTAACGAATTTACTCTTCCAACTACAATTACTAAATTAGGAGATAGTTGTTTTAAAGAATGTTCATCATTGACAACAATAAATATACCAACACCAATTAGTGAAATAGGGTATCATTGTTTTAAAGAATGTTCATCATTAACATCTATTAATTTACCACTAACAATTACTAAATTAGGAGAATGGTGTTTTGATGGATGTACATCATTAATATCAATTAGTATTCCATCAACAACCAGTAAAATAGGAGAAGGTTGTTTTAATTTGTGTTATTCATTAACATCAATTGACATACCATCATCTGTTAGTGAAATAGGAAATTACTGTTTTAGTAAGTGTAGATCATTGAAATCAGTTAATCTGCCACCAACAATTAGTGAAATAGGGTATGAATGTTTTAAAGAATGTTCATCATTGACATCAGTTGATATTCCAACATCTGTTAGTGAAATAAGAGACAGTTGCTTTAGAGAATGTAAATCATTAAAATCAATTAATATTCCAACAACAGTTAGTAAAATCGGAAATTGGTGTTTTTATGGATGTAAATCATTAACATCTGTTACTATTCCATCATCAGTTAGTAAAATCGGAAATTGGTGTTTTTATGGATGTTCATCATTAAAAGAAGTTGATATACCTTCATCAATTAGTAAGTTAGGAAATAACTGTTTTGATGGATGTTCAGAAGGGTTAAAAAAGAATGAAGTTTTAAGAAATATATATTTTAAGAATGAAGGGTCTTGTGTCATTGTTTAATTAAACAAGTTATTTCAATGAATTTATTGGGTTGTGATAAGAATAAATGTAAAAAGAAATATAAATTTAATAAAGAAATGGAAGATGATAGTAACAAACAAATTGGAATTGAATGATATACAAAGAATTAGTATTATGAAAAGTTATGATAAAAATGGTTAAAGAAATTTAACTAAAGCCAAATGAAAATAATCATGAAGTAATGAAGTAAATTTACAATTCAATAAGATTGATATGGATTGTTTCATTATCACATATAACAAGTAATTATGAAAAGAATACACTTCATTGAAGAGAAGAAATTCATAAAGATTTGATGGTATTTGTTTTTCATCACAAAAGGAACAAATAACTTTATGT